CCAGCGTCAGCCCACGTGCCTCACACCCCAGGCAAGTTCCACTTCAACACCTTTTTTTTTTTTAATCAAGGAGGTTGAACAACACCACCAAAAAGCCCTGTACAATAATTAAATTTTATTACAAGTGTAATAAACTTAATGATTTTTTTTAGCACTAAGGCAATCACAGCTTTGTAAGTTATATATATATAATTTACACAAGTCTACACTGACATTACCAGTCACATCAACGAGGGGTTTGTGTTACAGCCAATAAAGTTTACGAAAATTCACAGTTAATCTGCAAGTATTTTAAAGATGCAGGAATCATATTGCACATAATAAAACAGTGGACTCTGAGGAGCAGATTTACAGTGTTCCAGCTATTCCTTCACAGAATATACATTGGTCGTCACCATGCAATAACTTCAAATACAGAATGGTATCACGTACCACGGTAAACAGTTACTCACAATGTAAGTTTTAAATAGAGTAGCAAAAAGCTGTTAGGTTTCTCTTTAAACCATATTTAAATTCTTAAAATATAATAAAACACTTTGATAAAATCAAACGGAATTATGGTTGTCACATTATCCTTTTAGTATTCTTCTTTGTCTTTGCCCTTCTTTTCCTTTTCATCCTGTAGTGCAGTACCAAGTTTCTTTATAAGGACCGACAAAACTTTGTCCAAAGGATCCATGACACCGCGCTGCAGCCACTTGGGAATAGTAGTCCTTGCATGGTGAAAGCCCAGTTTTTGGAGGATGTAGTCAACACCAACGGGATCAATTTTTCTCCCAGTCCAGGATATCAGTCTAAAAAACAATAAACACTGGCCTCAATCTCAAATGTATAAATACAGCAACTGGTGTTTGTATAAACAACATCCATTTTTACCATTGTTACTTCTGGCCAGCTTAAGTCCAACAGGCATTGCTTCAAACTTAATTTTTTGAGGTAAGCTGAAGATGACCAGTGGAACATTCTCTCAAGGGAAGAGGATGCTCTGGCGGGGGGAACCCCAGACTGGGCTGCCTCCAGACCGTCTTTAAATTGATTTATTATTACTGCTAACACAAAATGCCAGCTGCCCAGGTTTGTTTGGCCTGGGTTGATGTGTTGTTTTGATATGTGAATGAACACTTAGGCTCTCCAGCAGCGTTAGCAGAAGTTAAAAAAAAAAAAAAAACAAACCACCACCACAAACAAACCCTGACATAGAGAGAAGTAATTTTTGGTGATTAAAAGTGTATATTGAGAGCAGTAAGTTGCTGCTATACACGCTATTCTTTTGTGCTAAGTTTAAACTGCCATATAGCAACTTGTATATAGTGCTTTTTATTTTAAGATGACTGCTTAAAGAAGAACTAAAACTGGAATGCTAAAAATAGAAAACTGCAAGATGAAAAACTATGGCAGAAGGTGAATGGCCTGTCGTAGGACAGAGTGAAACACAGTAATCTGTGGTCTTGAATGAGTTTAATTTTACTGTATCCTAATTCTGAAGAGCCTCCAACATCTTTAATCTGCGTAAGTTCTAATTTAGAAGTTAACTGATGTAATAGATCATCGTGTTATCCAGCTTTTGTCGTGTCCTGTAGCAGGCAGCTTTCATGGCAGCACTATTAGCCAAAGATGAACCTGTAACAGCATCCACATGATTGATGATCCCCTTAGGAGCTGAACAGCATCTACTTGGAAACACTTGTTCATGCAGGACGGTACCAACAGACAGAATCATAGACAGAGAGACTGCAGACAAGCCTGCCTGTTACCTGAGTGTGGGTTCCAAATGCCAAGTATTGCACATAAAATCTCTCCAGTCGACTGTAGTGTAAGTAATGCTTTCCTCAGCCTCTTTGTCAGTGGAGCTGTCCTCAAGAACACCAACGGAGTTTTTCTGCCCTGGACGAGCAGCCAAAATACGAGGAGGAAAAATTGCTACAAAATGGAGAGAGGAAAAACCCCACACCAGTCAGGCAGCAGCATCTCACTTCGATTCTCTTTGTACATCGTTTAAAGAAACACAAGCACAAATCACAAAAGAGAGAGACCCACCTTGTGTTTCAGTTTTACAGACTTTCTGGCAAACAATTTTGGTTTGAACAAAGTGCTAGTAAAAATTATCCTATGAAAACTGTCACAGACACTGGATAACACTGGGATATGGAATTCTTCCTTCTCTCTGCCAGCCCAAAAGCATCCATATACAAGGGCTTTCTTTCAAATTCATCATGGCATTCCACAAAGCGTATCACATTCCATAAGCAAAATTCAGACGCATTCCTAGTTCAGAATATTTTTTTAGGTTGACAGAGTAGTCTCTGAGGAGGAGGATGGTGGGGGAATAGGTAAATCTTTGTCCAAAGGCATCAAGGGGACCGGAACCCAGCTCTTACTTGAGTTTAAGTCCTGGGAGACAGAAAAGGAGCAGCAGCTCCTTCTCCTCCAAACAACATATTTTATAAAATAAAAACAAATCTATTAATTTGGATTGAATTTTGATTTAGTTTAAGATAACCTGAGAACAAATTTAAAAAAAAAATTCCACCAAAAGCAGTTCTCTTCCCCTTTTGTTGTTTTTTGCACCTGTCGGACATTTGCTATAAAGTGCTTTTAGGAAAATTGGCACTTCTAGCTCTGTTGTACACAGTTACATGTAAACGGATTTTGAGATAGTTAGTTATAAAAATAAGCTTTCAACATACTGAATTTATTGTGTTCTACATCATATGTGTTACATTTATACATTGCATCATATTACAACACATGAATAAATGTTACATTTTCTATACAGCTCAGTAATAAATACAAACTACTACACACAACACTGAATTTCACAAACGCTACAAACAAAATACGTGACTTTCACTGTGGCCCCAACTGATCATTTACACTACAGTGCTACATTACTCTTGTGGCATCCTTTAAAGAAGAAAGTACAGAAATTAGAGTTTAGAGTAGGATTGCTGTGGCAAAATTTGGAAAATCTTAATTTAAGATCAGAAGTTGTAAACTTCAAATAAACAGCTTTTCCTTTCCTTGATGACATCTCATCAGATATAATATAGAATTATATAATACTTCTAAGTAAATGTAACATCTGAAATAATTTTATCTATGATCAACACCTGCAGCGCTGTTTGAATCTTTTCCAAGTGTTAACTAATTTCGTAGGTTTTAGATACTCGTGGCAACAAGTACTTCTAAAACATGAAGGCCGCTAGATGATGGCCTTCCCTTCAACATGCAGGTAATCACAGAATCATAGAACGGTCTGGGTAATCCTAGAGCACAGTCAGTCATTTAGTACCGCACTGTTTATTCACCTTAAGCCCACAACAACAGAAATCACTCTGTGTTTGGCGCACTTTATGTATACAGAAAACTCACTTGTCTTCAGTTTGCTCTTCTTGGCCAAGACCACATATTACTTAAGAATGCGTGTGCCAAATTTGAACGCTGTGACTGAACATATTCGCGTGGAAAAGCAAAGCATTCTGAAGTCAGAAAAATGCATTTCCACTGATGAAAGGACTGCAATCAAAGTAGTGTAGCTTCCTAAAGCAGTTTTCATCTGCGTATACCATCTTACAAAAATAAAGTTAAACTAAACACCAGGTGTCAAAATAGGAGCAACATAATGACCTCGAGTAACTAGCACAAGCTCATCAGTAGCGTGTAAGGAACAGAAATCTAGGAATAGTCTGTTCTCTGCAGCATACTGCACACAGGTGCTGCATTGGAGGTGAACTTTCAGGCTAAAAAAGGTGGTTTTCAGTCTAAAGTAACCAAGAAAAACTTTTTGTTATTGTACAGTTAAATTTCACTTGCCAGGGATTGAAAGAGGTAACTAGCATTTCATAGCATTAAGTCCAGATTTCAAGAACAGTTAATACTACTTCTGTTGATTTCAATGGAAGCAAAGTTCGGCTTAACTTTTAAAAAATTAGATCAATTTTTAACAAGTCAACTCTATTAAAAAGCATGCAAATATTTACTATTAAATAGTCTGGCAACTGCAGATTGTCAGACAAGTGTTACCTCATAAATAACAACTTACCTTTTTCTTTTTCTTTTAGATAAGCAGATACCAAGTCATGTAGAAACATAATCAATTCGGCATCCATAGTTACACAAATGTGGTCTGTAAATTCAGTTACTACACTGCATTCCACCTTTGGTTTAGCACTTTTATCTACAGTCAGATAAAAATAATACCAATACACTTAGAAGTACATTCAGTATACATAAAAGTACACAGAATTTGAATACAAATAATTTGAAAATGACATTGCTGTTACTGAACCAGAGACTCAAAAGAGAGGAAGGACCATAATTAACATATGCGTTTAGCAGCCTCAGCATTTTTTGAAGTTTTCCCATCAGAGTAACTTCTGGTATTTTATAAAAGCCGGTGAAAATAAAGAAGTACTACCACGTAGCAACCTTGATTATCCTCAACGTGGCAAGTCAACCTGGAGCAGTATCACTAGCTTGTGCTATGCTATCAATGCATGATTTTAGACAATAGGAAAAGCTGATAGCAGATTTTGCTAGTTTGGCTATAAAAAAAACTAACCAAAAACCAACAGGTTGACTTATCTAGCAGTACTGTTCAAGATCAGGTATGGAGTAAAACCACAGTTCAGCCAAGATAAACATCTACATTAAAGTCTTATACCTTCAGAAGTCTTATTTCCCACCAGTTGCAACTGCAGTCTGAAGATAACATTTTGAAAACAAGAGCATAAAATTTAAGTTCCTATCTCATATTCCCTTCTGCAGAATGGCTTTCCTCGCTAACTTTTTAATAACAATCAGAAAACCAACCCCCTGAAAACAGCCAACCTAGCTGAAATGTTCATATTGATTTCTCTTAGTAAGCTTTTTCTATGGTGACGTCTGGACTAGATCAGAATTCTGATTCTAGACTAGAATCAGAATTTTGTCTACATTTTGTTATGAAATGGTACCCTTTCTTGCAGATCTGCGGTAATTATATCACTCAGATCCTCCTATCAGCCCGCTAGCTTTGTATTTAACTCCTCATTTATGAGAAACAGCTTTGGATCAAGAGAAAAACAAAGGATGTTTACTGCACCTTGTAATGAAGGCTCTTGGGGCTCTTGAACATGAATGGATTTAAAATCCAGCTGCATCCTTGGCAATGCAAAGATAGTTTCAGTTTCATGGTTGTAACTGGAGCCACCTCTGAAGCCACTTAGCAAGCTTGAGCTTTTCACTGTTGTGCTGCTCTCTGGGTTGTTAGCATCAACATTTCGAAGCAGGTTTAACTCTATAGGGACAATGGAAAATTCCTGAATTGAGTAGTTTTTATTAAAAAAAAGGTTCTTGTCAGCAGAGAGGGTGACAAATTTTCATGAAATACATCTCATAAATAAGAAGGGGGGAGGGAATAGGTGTCAGTAGAATAACATCTAAACACTTCTGAGAATCTTTGTTAGATTTTTGGAAGCTCAAAGTCCAAATTTTATTCATCTGACCACCCTATCAAAACTCTGTTGTAGTAATAAGCTTCAGTTAAGTGAGCTATAGACTGTATGGGTTCAAAGTGTGCCCTCTGTGTTTGAAAATATGGCAGCACTTAAAATGAAAAGAAATGTTTCTGATTAATACAAGCAATACCTAAATTCACCGAGGCAGCACTGCTGTCAGAAATCACTGTTGACCAGGAATCCAGCTTTGTCACAAGACTTTTACCATAGGACAGACCAACATCATTTGAATTAGTTTTCTTAGTTTTCAGTTGTTAAAATTGTGACAAGACAAAAAAGTTAAGAAAGGTTACTATTTCATTGTAAAACTGCTGGTATATGATTATACAGAAGATTATATCCTTTATCCTGCTCCCAAAACCATGCCTACAGAAGGTCAAACAACCAAATGTTGTTGTTGTTTATATACTTAAATGCTCCAGATGTAGCAAAACAGGGCTACATAAACATCTAACAGACAGCACCTCTATTTGTGAACTTCAACCACTACATCCTGTTGTGTCTTTCAAAAGGAAAATATTAGTATAGTATAGCAATAATTTTCAAGTATTTTTTTCAAGAAACTTTTCTGCTCATTTCTGACTGTATGTCATATTCTGCTATTTGCCCTTTCAGAGAAGTTCTATTGACATCATCTACTCATTCTACGGTTTGTGAATGAAATAGTGACAGCTTTATCTTAAGATTTCTTTTAACATTATCTTGAAAGTTTTATTTTCCAATTAACACTGATTTAAAGATATGATTCAAAATGTTTTAAGGCCTAGAAGCAGCTGAAGGTTGAAAAGCTTCAGGCAGATGGATAAGTGTTAGCCAGAAGTGGTGACAAAAGCCTAAACCATATTCCTACCTCAACTTAATCCATAAATCCTTCCTACAGGGTGAAATAGATCCTCCTGTTACTGGACATGAGGCAAGAAAATTTTTTGTATATAGTCAAGGAGGAAAAGACTACGACTACTGCAACGCCAGATACATAAACGTCCTGTACACTGAAAGAACATTTTGGCTTTACCACACAGTTTGAAAAAGGACACAGCTCAGTAACCCTTCCAGCTGTTCAGCATTTTGCTATGCTTCATTCCACAGTTCAGCATAAGGTTCTCAAGAAGAAACACCTTCCATTTTATTTCAAATTCCCTTCTCCTTGGGGCCCATTTGCTTTAGCAGCTTTAGAACAGCACAACCTGCACTGCCTGGCAAGCAGGCCAATCCCAAAACGTAATGAACATGAATCTAACCTTCATTCCTTGTTGCTGTAACGTAATTGAACCACTCTTTCACGCTGGCAACTCCGTGTGGGGGGTTTTCATGGCGGCGCCTCGTAATCTTTGTGATTGTCGCCATAGGGCTTTCGAGGGCTCCACACGGTTTGGTGACCATGGTGTTATGGCCCAAGTGGAAGTCCAGGGTTTGCACGATGTACGTGGAGTGTTCGCTAGTACCTGCATTGAAGGTGTGGGCGGCGTGGGGCAAGAGGGTAAAGAAAAATGGAAAAAGCAGCTTGGTAGTGGGATTTGTCATCTCACTCTCCTCTCGCACAGGTATTAAACGTGAATAATTAGTATGCCAGTGGCGTTAAAAACGGGCATAAAGCTTGCGAACAACAGAAAAACCAAATCCTCAGTAGTCACAGACAGTAAAAACTTGTCAATATGAAGACAAATATAAGCAATAAGACCATCAAAATTCATCATACAGAAACAAAGGGCCACATAAACACAGACATACAGTGAACAAGGCAGACAGCCCACTTTGTAGGCATATTATCAGGGACATACCTAGTATATTTGAAAATGCACTTTGCATTATTCCACAGATAAAGCAAATTGTGGTAAAGATGGACAGGGAACAGATTATTATTTTAGGCAAGCTGTATATTTTTGGGAAATAATCTTGATTCACACTTAAAGAAAATTAAGTTTTTCTTTGATTTCTTCTTACGTATCAATAATTCTTAAAACTATTTAAAGGAATTTAAATAAGTGAAGAAATGGTTTAAATTACCATCTTCCCAAACTTTCTGAGCTTCTGTCCAAAATGCAATATTGGGTTCTTCAAGGTGAAATAAGGCCCATGATTTTGAGCGGAAATTAGGTCCATGAAAACAAGCCAGCGTCATATGGTTTCCATGCAGGCTCATGGATCCTCCAAATTGCATTCCATCTTCTGGCAGTGGCATCTGAAATAAGGATATATGGCACCCAGATACCATTTTCAAAACTCCTGGCCAATGGCGATGATGGGCTGCATCCAACACTGGGAAGTAAACACACAATAGGAAGAACAAACTTTAGGAAAGAGAAAGGTAAGATTGCTGCCATATTTGTATAGTTAATAAAATGTGGAATTATGAGCGATATTTTCTAATCTATTTCACTGACACTGTTTCATCTCTGTGATCTAAGGCGGTTGTAGCTTAAGAGCACCTGGACAAGCATACTTGGAAATGAATGACTCAGTGTGTTCAAACAAATTATGGTTTCAGCTCATGATTAACAGAAAGTAAGAATAACATCACACTTCCACTGCTACTCAAAGTAGAAATCGTTTTTTAGGAATTAGACTTCAAAAATAAGACTTTGAAAACGATTTCAACTCTATTGAAATACTGTGAAAACTGCAAAACAGATTTTTTTTTTTTTTTTAACAAAAATACGTATTTTAAACTAAAACTTGAAAAAAACCCATAAATGAGTTCATTATTGTACCCCAGGTCTAGTAGGGTACTTGACATACTTGCATTCTTCATTGAAAGGTTACTGCTAGCCCAAATTTGCAGGGAAAATGTACTGAAGAAACTATTTCAAGTGAAATAGGTATACTTGCACGTATAAAGTTGCTCGGATGAATTTTCGCAATTCAGACATCCTACTTGGGAAGCATAGTATTTTTTGTACCACTTACATTGCTCATGTGAGCTTCTCTCTAAGTTGTTGGCCATTGTCTTGGGAGGGAGATAAGGAACAGGTCCCCAGGTGGACAAAGCTCGCTTGCTTGTGTCAAACTGCTGAGTAAAGAACTCCTGGAGTTTCATTCCTATTTTTATGAGGTCTGGTGTAGTTGATCTTGAAATCATCACTTGGAAGATATCCCATTTCAAGTCCCCATGGACAAATATCTCGCTAGATATTAAAAACAGCAAGAACATTAGCAGTTAATCTATTTCCTACTGACAAAAAAAAAACCCCACAACAAACCAACAAACCCTTTGCTTTCTAGCAGGTGCTTGCATTTTGGTTAGCAATACCGGACAGAAGACATATAGGCAGAATTTGACCTTCTCAGACATTATACATTTTAAACACAGGAAGCAGTATTACCTTTTATCAGAGATGCTTGAGTCCAAAGCATTATACAGGTTAATCTTCCATTCATCTTGTAGTTTAAGATCAGCATTACTGAAGATTCCCATTAGGATACTGGACCCCATATAGTCAACACGTGCTTCAGTAGAACCCATGGTAATTTGAATTTTATGACTGGGCTGTTGGTTTGGGTGTTCAGAAATATGAGCTGAAATGGAACCAAAGCAATACAGAAATACAGCATTAAAGGTAAGAAAATCAGTTTTTCCAGTGATATCACAGAATCACAGAATCACTAAGGT